CTTACAAAAAAACAGACACATACGCACACACACACACGCACACATATATATATATATATATATATATATATATATATATATATATATATATATATATATATATATATATATATATATATATGATGTTTAAAAGAAGACTTGCTCCCTAAATATACATTAATATAAATATCTTTCGTTAAATATGACGGACAATGAAAGTTATTAATTATTTTATTTACGTTTCAAAGCATTCTTACACTTTTTCGTTTGATGGGAGTGATGTATATATATGATAATAACATACTTTTAAGGTTAGCTATATCTATGGGTTAAAGTGTTCAATATCAGAGATAGAGCGTATGTAAATGTAAAATTCAACACTAAGTTTAACGCCGCCCAGCAACAGTCTATTTCATGCTTGAACACACACACACACACATATATATATATATATATATATATATATATATATATATATATATAAAAAGTGAACACTGAAGTCAACACTTAGAGGCGACAGGATGTTTTCATGCTAGACGCAATCGTCAGGCCAAGCCTGTCGCCTCTAAGTGTTGACTTCAGTGTTCACTTTTATATTTACACTCGCTCTATCTCTGATATTGAGCACTTTATCCCATAAATATAGCACACCTTAAGACTATATCTCTTCATATATATATATATGTGTGTGTTTGTGTGTGTGTGTGCCCGCGTGTTTGCACTGTGCGTTTAGTTTGCAATTTTAAATGCCTATAGTTTTCTAACTATACATGAGAGAATTAATCTGTAAAATAGATTGGAAAAAGTAATGTGAAAATTTATTGTCGAGATTGTTAGTTTTCAACATGTCCGCCACCATAATATGACTCTTCAGGGGATTTTGTGTCTGATCTTCAGTATTTAAAATTGCACACGAAGTTTATAAACTATCTCTCAATATGTGTGTGAGTGTGGAAAATAGGAGCAGAGATAGAAACAAACAGAGATATATTGAGAAAAAAACAAGTAGAAAATCGATCTGAAATAAAAGGACATAGATAAGGATTTAACTAACTACATGGTGGCGTATCGGAGCGAAAATAGCCTGTTAACTAAAATTCCAAAGAAAGTGTCCGCTAGATAGATAGATTCAGATAGATAGATAAATAGATAGTGAATAGACTATTATAGATGTGCAAATACAAAGAAAGAAAGAAAGAAAGGAAGGAAGAAAGAAAGAAAGAAAGAAAGAAAGAAGGAAGGAAAGAAAGAAAGAAATTAACAAGGACTGATAGAGAGATAAGACAGAAATGAACATAGAGTGATAGATTTAAAGAAAAAAGAATAAAGATTGATAAAGAGAATGAGAAATAGAAAGAAAGAGAGAAAGAAAGAAATGAACAGAAATTGATAGAGAGATAAAAAGAAAGAAATGAACATAGAGTGATAGATTTAAAGAAAGAACGAATAAAGAAAGATTGATAGAGGTATAGATAGATATATCTATCAATACCTCTATCAATCTTTCTTTATTATAGATAGATAGATAGATAGATAGATATAAATGAACAGAGATAGATAGATAGATAGATAGATAGATAGATATGAACCGAGATAGAGAGAGAGAGAGAGATATGAACCGAGATAGATAGATAGATAGAAAGAAATGAACAGAGATAGATAGATAGATAGATAGATAGATAGATAGATATGAACCGAGATAGATAGATAGAGAGAGAGAGAGAGAGATATGAACCGAGATAGATAGATAGATAGAAAGAAATGAACATAGATAGATAGATAGATAGATAGATAGATAGATAGATAGATAGATGTGAACCTAGATAGATAGATAGATAGATAGATAGATATAGATAGATAGATAGATAGATATGAACCGAGATAGAGAGAGAGAGAGAGATATGAACCGAGATAGATAGATAGATAGAAATGAACAGAGATAGATAGATAGATAGATAGATAGATAGATAGATAGATAGAAATGAACATAGATAAATAGATAGATAGATAGATAGATAGAAATGAACATAGATAGATAGATAGATAGATAGATAGATAGATAGATAGATAGAAATGAACAGAGATAGATAGATAGATAGATAGATAGATAGATAGATAGATAGATAGATAGATATGAAGAGAGATAGATAGATAAACAGAAAGAAAGAAATAGACAGGTTGATAGAGATATAAAATGAACATAGAAAAAAGAAATTAACAAAGGTAGGTAGCTAGGGAGTAAATCATAAAAAATGTAGGTAACGAAGAAAACAGTACAAAGTAAAAACAAAAAGAAGAGGAAGATAAATCAGAAAGACCAAGTTGGATAAAGACAGAGAGAGAAAGAGATAGCTAGAAACCCTTAAGGCGTATTCGAACTTGCGCGTGTTTATATATACGTCTTCGTACACACAACAAAGGTGCGTTTATATCTGATAATGTTGGAACAGAAGTGTTTGCATATGTGTAACTCTAATAATGCCTATGTACGTGAACACGTTTTCTTTTTTATCGGCAGAATACACGCTGTAAATGTGCATGCGTGCGCGTCATATAACTATAAAAGTTGAAGGAAAAGGCGGAGTGATCGGCCCGACCCCTGGGCAAAGATCTCATACATCATCCGACGCCACAAAAGCGCGTCGAGAGAAAGAGAGAGGCACTTTTATAGGCACAGGGAAAAGCGTGAAAACAGTACGTGGCCCAGTCGATCTGTCTTCAGCAAGACAAGAGCCACCAATTCGGAAAAGAGGAGGAGCAAGATGGAACGGCTCCCCTTCTGTGATCCCATCGAGTGTTGATGGAGTTGGAAAGTAATTACTACAAGGCTCTTAATACGTTGGACGCCATTTTGAAACATAGGCGCATGCGTGAACATATGGTTGTTTTACCGTCGCTCTTTCGGCTCTGTGTGTGTGGAGGGCTGGAAGTTCTTTCTTGAATTTGGATATTTTAGATTTTAAAAGTTTTATACTGACCAGAGCGAAACGAAAGGTTTATTGTATTTGCAATGGCAAATATATGACATTTTCGAAAACTCTTTTAACATATTTCGCTGATTAATCAAATCTCGATTGGCGAGATAGAACGTGAATTACGTTAGTCTTATAAATGCCGATTTTTTAAAATTAGATTTTGGTAATATTAACTCAGTTGTTTATTTATATATTCATTTGTTTTTTACGCATTCCAGATTGCTTTCAACAGGTGACAGTTTGAAAAAGCCCGGTCGTATATTAATCAAAGAGGATTCGAAGATCATGAAAATTTCTATGTCTGTCTTCTATATTTATCATTTTCGTCGGTTTCCCCTCGAAATTTATATGGTTATTTAGAATGTTTCGTAAACAATACCAGAAATAAGCAATCAGAACTATTTATGCGTATAAAAGGAGCAAACAGACAGTACTGTTCGGCAACCGCCCATGGTTCTAATAACAGGAATTCACAAGTCATCGTGGCCGAAGTTTTGAGCGTACTGTCTTTTTCCAACTGCTGATCACGCCAGGTTATGCGCTCTCTCCCAGGCAATTTGACTATGGTTTGCTCAGTATAGTTGCAGCATAAATTAAAGGCGGACTCTGTGCATATTGAACACAAATGTGCCTGAACAGACGTCTGCAGTGGAGACGGGTGTCTTCGGAAATGAGCAGATGGACATTATTACTATTATTATTGAAAAGAATTATTATCTATTCAATTATTCAGACTATTAAACTAGTTCTTTATATTGCTTTTGTTGTTCAGACTTTTATTAAAACATTTTTCAGGAAAAATAGGTTCCTTAAGTTCTGTAACTATCATTGTTCTTTCCAGTATTGAAGGGAGTTTCCTTCCTAAACTTTTCTCTGAAGTTGTCTGAACATCAACTTCTTCATTATGTTCTAATTTTATTCTCGGGTTACATGCTCTATTCATTTTAGTTGTTGCTGCTGTTGAAAGTCTTGAAATGATGGGGTTTCTATTATTTGGTATAGTTCTTTAGCATTCAGTCCACGAAATTTACAAAAGGGTGGTCCTCGCTAAGACCTACAGGATTAGTCTAAAGTTGTTTTTAATGAAAAAGATTGATCCAGAAACCCAAACAGCTATTGGATTGATTATGGCTCTTCTTAAAATTGTAGAAATTATATTTTTATACAGATGTTTGTGCAGCGTATATCCTCACTTTAAGTGGGATTTAAGCGTCGAGTTCAAATTCCGAACGAGTTCATTGTATTCCTCGGAAAGATTTTCTTTTAACATTATTCACCAACTACAAGGCCCAAGAGCCACTCAATACAGATGGTTATTAAATGTGGTTGTTGTAAGTACGTACAAGGAACGAACACGAGACGCACATTATGTGGGTATGTAGGATAGATCAAAGTTTATCCAGAAGTAGAAGTTAAGATTGTAGTGATCGGGGAAGCTTCATCTTGGTAGACTATTCCACATTGCAACAGTTCTGAGGAAGGAGCTGTTTGAGTGGAATTTCCTCCTTACGAATGGAATACGAAGGTAATGTGTCCTCGGTGTACGTGGAATGTCGCATCCTAGATGTAAAAATCTAGACTTTTGGAACTAAGGAATGTAGTTCTCCCTTCTACCATGAACATTGCGATAGGCTAGCATTTTCGTTTGTTGGAAAGGGGTTGTAGGGTGGAAAACAATTCATAACTCAGCAAACCACGCAAAGTTGTAACGTAAGGAATAGGCAGCTCCAATCCAGATCACGTCTTCCGACGCCCAGAAGAGACTGGGCTCTCTAGCCTGGGTTGGTAACCAGTATAGGATAAGGGCAGCTGTGAAAACCAGTTGGGTTTGGAGTTAGTAACTCGTAAGCAGCTACTTGTCACTAAAACTACAGTAATAAAACATAGCGTAGTGAGGCAGTGATCCTATATTTCAAGGAGAGTCTACAGTCTGAATGGCACATGAAGCTGGTTTCTAGATTTAATTACACAAATGTTCAGATTCAATTCTGGTTTCTCTCAGAAACGTAAACACGACGAATCCAACGAAATATACAAAATTATTTTTCGGTTCATTTTTAGCTTGGAACAAATGTTCATAGCGTTTTTTAATCGGTAGCATTTGAACATATCATTTCGTTTCATATGTGACTGAATTTTATGTCGTATGTCTATCTATCTATCTATCTATCTATCTATCTATCTACACACACACACACACACACACATATATATATATATATATATATATATATATATATATATATATATGATATATATTTCAGTCACATATGAAACGAAACCAAGTCGCAGTATTCTGCCCTTCAAAATGTGTGGATGGCTCTGCACCATAATAATCAAATCTCATGTGCTGGTGTCAGGCTGTCAGTTTCCTAGGAACTGATCTTCTTAACCCTCATACGTCGAATTCGACGGGAGTCAGTATATATATATATATATATATATATATATATATATATATATATATATATATATATTCTGAAAGGTGACATTTCTATATGATTCTTGTATTGATTATTTTTAACTACTTTTACATTAAAAATGAAAATACAAGAAAATAAGACGGATTTTCGCTATTTGATGCTCCTTTATTTTGAGAATAGAAAAAAAAATGCCCTGTATATTTACGGAAAGGGTCTCATAGCTTAGTCTTCTCTCTTTATAAGTGGTCAATTAGGTTCAAACATGGAAATTTCGATCTGGAATACCGAGAACATTCCAGCAGGTTCGCAGTCGTTGATGATGACCGCATCAAAACACCGATGAAAAAAAAGTCTGTCACACGATACGGGACATCGCAGAGATACTCCACATATATGAGTTTCATAAGACATTTAAAAATATTTGGATATATGACTTTCTACAATGTTTAGATGTCTCGCAGCTTAACAGAAAAAACATTTAGTCGACCGCTTGTCCATCTGCAATTCTCTGCTCAAAATCAAGAAGATTCATATTTGAAAAGAACGACCAGAGGCGATAAACATGGATTAATTTATAGCATTGTGGAGAAAATGAAGTGAGTCCACATTAAGCACCCGATCCGTATCCAAAGAAGGTGATGCTCAGTACCCAGTGGAATTGGAAGAGAATCGTGCACAGCCAGCTCCTTCTGCAAAATCAGACAAGTATTCTTCCCAGTTGAAGGCAGCAATCGATGAAAAGCGTCCGGAAATGATCAATCGGAAGGACACGGTCTTTCATCAGGGCAACACTAAAGCTTACGTCTCTTTGAAGGCGCATTAGAAATTGGTACCGCTTGGCTGGGGCATCCTACTGCACGCGATATAATCACTTGACATTACACCTTTGAATTACGACTTGATTCGATCTCTACGAAATTCTCTTAGCTTTAATTCTCTATGAGCCTGTAAAAAACACCTAGAACAAGTTTATCGCCCAGAAAGAGGCCAAGTTCTGGTAAGGCGGAATCATGAAATTGTCTAAAAATTTACGAAAGGTAGTGGAATAAAATGGAACATATATGGTTGAAAAAATCTATTTTCACATATCTAAATACTGTCTTTAAGATTCACTTAAAATCGCTACGAATTTATTTCAACCCAATATAAAGTGGTGACTTTGTGTTATGGTGCAATATCCTCGCACCACAGTCATGGTCCAAGGTTAGAACCAAGGAAGAACAACAGGAACACAAGAGTAGAATAACAAAGATATATTACAACAGAAATATAGTACAAGTTGAAGGTGTTAGTAATGACTGTCCGTCTGGTTTAGAGTGAACTAATATTGTTTCGACTCGTTACACCATTCATTGTATTTAATATCCCACCCACGAGGAATATATGTGGCACGAGGCCGAGATTAAAGTGGGTTTCTCCCAGCCCCGTAGGCTCGGCCAAAAATATACCCTTTGAACCCGTCTAGATGGGTTCAGGGCCTGTCTACCTCCCCGGATGAAACCCTGCCCTTCGGCAAAGCTTCGTCCGGGTTCCTCTCTGCCAAAGCAGAGAGTTCAACAGTCATGAACTGGTGCTGGGTACACCGCTCATTCATTATACCTCTTGAGAGGCGCAGTATTTATAGTGCCAGGAAGAGTCCATTATCGTTATAGGTAAGTTCCCATAACACTTTGCAAATGCATATTAAACATTTTCTGTCAATTCTTCTGCATAATCTTCTTAAATAGGATAGTGTTGAATAATGTTCAAGAGAGAGTCAGCTTTTAATAGCTAAACGGCTTTTATAGCGAGATATTTCAGCAATTTTTCTTATGTTTTTAGCATAGGGTAATCTTGACATAAAAAAGCACATGAAAAATAAAGTAATGTATTCGAGAGAATTGATTTCTCACCCAAGTTTATTATAACAGCTAAGAGTGGATATTTTTTGGAGAGCAACCATTTTGCAAGGATAGCAAATTATTCCTCATTGTTTAGCGCCGCTTTTCGATCGTAAAAGAATCTGTTCTTTCAAAGAATTCCCAAACAAACTTACAGGTTGATTGAAGAATGTAAACGAACAACAGTATCATCAGAGAAGTTTCGACTTGAAGGCACATTTCTCATTTTCAGCATGGCTGCATGCTTTCGTTTTATTGGGCCAATTTGAGTTTTATCAACATACACAGAACCAACTAGTGGTCTATACTGCAGTTATACTGAGAAAACCTTAGTAATATTTGAAGTATGTGCCCCACAAGGGACAAATTCGGTTATTGAATTCAAAGTTGTCAATTTCTTATGCTACAATTAGGGAGTCTAAACTTCCCTACTACTTAACCCGTATATAAGTGGGGAGAGTAATGGATCTATATCTTTCCTACGGGTAATTGTGCGAAAGTGAATAAGAATATCGACCGGAATTCGAACTTGGCTCGTCAATTTCCCATTCGCAGAATATAACCATTACACCACCTGCACAACTAAACGAGAAAACCGCACATTAAAAATGTATTCACTCTCCTAAACCATTTATAAGTTCATATTAATAATCAGCATACTCCACTAACGGAAACGTTTTTTTGTTTTGTTTTGTTTTTCAGTTTATTACCAATCGTCATTCAATATTCTTAACTAATACAATTCACTTTCTACTCTAATTGTCCCATAATAAAAAAAATGTTCCAATAACTTGGATCGATTTTAAATGTGAATTAAGTTTAAGCGTCTAATGATTTTCTTTTCTTTTTCTTTCAGGTTTAACAACTTAAGTCTTTGGCAATTTCAACCATGAAAAGATTAACAATCAAATACCGTGTTAAAGTTATCGAAGCCTTTTACGAAAATGGACGTTCAAACAGAATTTGAATTAGAAGTTCCCAGGTCGCATCATCTCTCGAAACAGCGAAGTCAGTTGGACACCACGATCGTGCGACTTGACGCCTTTAGATTTCTTCCTTTGGGGAAGTCATCTCAAAAGTAAGGTCTATGCCAACAAGCCAACAATTCAACAGCTGAAGGATGAGATAATAAGACATATTGGTGAGATCGAGGAGTAACTATGCAGAGACGCCATCAAAAATTTTGACTATCCAGTGAAGATATGCCGCCGAAGTCTTGGTGAACATTTGGGCGATATTATTTTTCGCACATAATTGCCATGACTTAAATAACATGATCCAATAGAGAAATAAATAAATTTTCACCATAACACTGATTTATTTACTGTTGACTTTGATCCGTCTTAACACCCTTTAGTTGTTTCATTTACATAGTCATTTCAAAAACTAAATGTAATAATTATTATGGGACACAGTTTTTACACCAACATATTTGTTAAATCAAACTTTTTCACGACTTGTAATGTATATTTCTACGAAATTTTATACTTTCACGGCGTGGAGAATCGTGTCTCTCCACAATTTTCTTTTTATCTTTAATATTATCGTTTGAAACCAGAAATGTAATCCAATACTGGTTACCCTACCAAGTGTAGAAACCCGAATCTTGTCTATTATTTTACTTTAGCAAGAGGAAAGAAGAAAGAGCTTCATGACTTTCGCAATATAATGGAACTTGCAGGGGGTACTAAGCAATACTAAATAAGAATTAGATGGGATTCCTAGATATGGTCAGCGAAACGAGATAAATTTACTTCCGTAGATTAAATAAAGGGTTCACTTTGAGGTTCCCAGAAGGTTACCCGGATCAATAGACATCTGAGGGTACAATGGCAGAAACGCCATAATAATAACAACAAAGATGAGCATATTAGCCCGAATGCAAATAATATCATAATAGTTAAAAATTACTTTGCACTTAATCTATATTATAAAAATCGGACATCGGTTTGTGGGTTTCTAGCGCAGCATAGCGGGATTCTTGTTAGTCCAATACCACCAACAAAATACCTTTTGTAATTTAATAACAGTAGTAGGATGCGTGGGTGTCTTAACGGTTTTCGGTGCGGAATGTCTAATCTGTTTATGATCTATCTATCTATCTATCTATCTCTCTATCTCTCTCTCTATATATATATATATATAATTTTATGGGTAACACTATTTTATACAAAATTTATTTATCTTTGTATTTTCTTTTTTCTTCCATCATGAACCTTTACAGTATTACAAAAAAGGACAATATTGCAAGCCTACTTATTAAAGAAAATCATTTGACACTAGACACTTGCTGATTAGGGATTAATAAAAATAAAAATAAAGTTGAATTTATATCTTCAATATAGTTATAGGTTGATAGGTAGATAATTGCTAAACTTAGTTAATATGACACAACATTCTAATTGTGGGGTACCCAATGAATATCTGAATAATAATAATAATAATAATAATAATAATAATAATAATAATACAAGGACATTGAAATCGAAATCTCTAAAATGTGGCACATGAAAACATCAACAATTCCAGTTGTATCTGGATCCCCAAATTGATTGGAAAAGATTCCAATAGACTCATTGAAGAGGTTATTGGTAGACCATCCCTTAAAGAAATACAAAAGATTGTTCTCAGGGGTACAGTCCATACCTTACGAAGGGCTTTATCGATGTAAAATATGTGCGATTTCTTTTTTTTTTTTTTTTTCAAAATTGCTTAGTGGAAAATTTCATGATGCCATTTCTGACCTTAGGTCTCTGGTCAGGAACTGGAAAGAAATGAGTACACACCAAAATCAAAGATAATAATAATAATAATAATAATAATAAAAGTAGTAGTAGTAGTAGTAATCTTCAAAACACATTAGCTAGGTATTGATCTATGAAAGCGGCACGTTTTAATTTATTCTAAACTTAATCTGATATGGGACCACAACTATGAAATAAGGTTCGAACTCACTAAACTATATTCTGCTAGACTAGTTTGCTAACATTGATCTGAATATAGCTGTGCATCCGAACTAAACATGCAAGTGCCTTTCACTGCTTTTGTGTAAATATGTTAACTTGCATGTTCCCGGGTGCTTTCATGGAAGTGGATTTTGTAGGAGAATGTGTTTTGCTCGTACACGTGTATATGTATGTTGTTGTGTATGTTTGAATGAATATGAAGCCAAGGTAGTAAGAGAAGCGATGGCTCAGGGTTGGGGTCAGGGCTGTATCTGTCGCTGATTGAGATAAGGAAATCTTTCTTTGCACGCGATATCTTGTCTCTCCAAGGAATCGAGTGATTTTCGTGATCTATGGCCAGTCTTAATAGTGGCTATTGGAGAGAGAAAAGCTGGAAATGTACAGGCTTTGTTTATTTTTTTTTTTTTTTTTTATTGTTAAAGAAATGGTTTGTTTCCTGGGCAGCGTTCAATCTCCACAAGGTTGTAGGATTTCTCGCCATATTTACACTCCGATAGCCATTGTTAAGACCTATTCGTTCAGCGACAAACATACTAAGTCATAGACAGAGATAGACAGAGCGAAATAGAAAGTTATATTCGCATGCTGACACAAAGAGAAACGTATATTTGTATATATAAAAAAAAACTTTTTCTACTAAAGTTCATCCAGTACAATGCTCGAGAGCCACTTAAGGCAATGGTTATTTTTAAAATGGCTTTAAGTAATGAATAAAATAGATGAGAGCAAGTGATAAGGAAGATAGATGACGATTGACGATTCACGTGACAAGGTTAAGACTATAGTGTTCAGGGAAGCATCCACAAATGTTTTCGGAGGGAAACTTTCTCCTTATATTTGGAATACGTAGAAAATGAGTTTGATTTGTCTCCGTGAAAGTTACATGGCGTTTCCTGGCAGTAAAGCTCTGAACAGGTGGAACTAAAGAATGGAGCGCTCATCTAAACATTTGCCATGGAAATAACAAAAGAGTAGTAACAGTCTTGCGATGTTGCGCCTACATTCGTAGCATAAAATGATTTTGAACGACTTTAAGCTGTAAAGTTGGGACTATATAACGCCAGACCATGTATAAAAGCAATAATCCATTTTTTGGTTTTAATGACTCTTGTAAAGATGCAACATATTAGAAGGAATCAGGTATATTCTGAGCGATAGAATGGGCCGACCATTTTTTCCAGCATATGAGATTGAGTATATTAATTCCGCTTGTGTTTTAATGTGAACTTGAGACTCACTAAACGTTCAAAGCATGGAGCCTTATTGAGAGTGAAACCGTTCATTATGACTGGAGAAAACGGTGGGTCTGATCAGTGATGATGAAAATACTAGTTTGGCTTTTTGGCGCATTGAAAGTTACAAACCAGGTTTTACCCGTTGTGCTGTTTGAGGTCCAGAGTGAGACAAAGACCGACATAACGAAGTAGCCAATCTTAGATAGAAACTTTAGCGTGCAGAGTTGACAGATACCGTCATAAAAAGGTAGGTAGAAAAGGTAGATAGTTTGGTGCGAATAGATAGATAGATAGATAGATAGATAGATAGATAGATAGATAGATACTGTCATACAGAGGTAGGTGGACTTATATAGAGAGTTTGTCGTGGAGTGAAAGGTGGAGGCCTCCATAATATTTGTTTTGAAAATAAAACAGTATTTATAACTCTAGATACATGCATAACACAACCTATACATTCGGTTAAAAGTAAAATCATTTTTGGTAATGGCTAAAAGTATAACCAAACGTGCTCGGACATGCGGAACTTTTAGACAGTTTTTATACACTTTGTGTCCAAAAAGGAAAGCGCATATACCAACACATTTAAATTAAAAGGTTAATCGCAGTACCTTGTCAGTCGTCTTTAACGAAATACACGCACAAACATACACACACACACACACACACACACACACACACACACACACACACACATATATATATATATATATATATATATAAGTACATGAGCAGGGTTCAACGTAAACTTGCGAATTAAATTCAACTCTCTTGTCTGTACTAGGATCCTCTTATCCCATGAACATAAAAATCCATTTAATTGTCGTTTTTATAATTTTTTAATTCGTATATACATGCTGAGAGAGATGTAGATATTATATATGCTGAGATAGATAGATTTGAACAGAGATAGATAGATAGATAGATATGAACAGACCAAGATAGATAGATAGATAGATATGAACAGACCAAGATAGATAGATAGATAGATAGATAGATAGATAGATAGATAGATAGATAGATAGATATGAATAGACCTCGCCTGATCGATGGATAATATAATGTAATGTTTCACACTGGTGTCATTGATGTGTACTCAAGCTTAAGTTTAAAGAAAAACGCATGTTAAGATTGTAAATGTTGATTTCTAACACACTCCCACTTCCTTCCATTTGGCTTTGGTAAACTAAGCAAATCTTAAGAACTCTTTGTAGATGTCAGAATTCAGCCGTCGATTACGACGTATGAGTAACTAACAGTATACAGAAGAACTGATAACAGAGAACAGTTGTACAGTGATTTTGAATTCAGAGGTGTCCTTGTGTACTGGTTGCCAACCAAGGCTAAATAGCTATTTAACCCATAGTTTAAAATGGAGAGAAGAGATGGATTGATACATTTTCAAAGGTATTTTATACGAAAATAAATGTAATGAACTCGACCGTAATTCGAAATAGGTTCACCAATCTCTCCTTCCATTAAAATACCTGATCATCCACACGCACACACAAACTCTCTCTCTCTCTCTCTCTCTCACACACACACACACACATATATATATATATATATATATATATATATATATATATATATATATATATGAATCTAAAGAGCCAGGCAAACCTACCTACGTTTCACCTACGTGGATCGTCGGGGTACGCTGGCCCCGCTTCTGTTTTTATTCCTTATTTTTCCTTGGGTATTTGTCTGTTCATTTACAAGCCAAAACACCTAAGGTTTTTCCAGACGAGTATAATTACTTATATTTATAAGATTATATATATATATATATATATATAAAAAGGATGTAAAGGATATATATATATATATATATATATGTATATAATATCTTGGACCTTGACCGATGTGAATTAAGTTTAAGCGTCTAATGATTTTTTTTTCTTTTTCTTTCAGAGTTGGCGGATATTTGGGCAATATTATTTTTCACACATAACAGCCATGACATGATCCAGTAGATTAATCATAATTAACACTGATTTATTTGCTGCTAACTTTGATCCGTCTTAATGAAACATCATTATATAATAATCCGTCTTAATGGAACACCCTTTATATGTAATGAATTAATGGATTTATTTTTAATCCGACATTTTTATTACTTCAATTAACATTATAATAGATATTCGTATTGAAAATAGATGCACCATTTTTGCTGTAGACATGTGTATTATGTCTATCGGCCAGAGCATTTGAGAAACCATAATAAATAGAATGTGCTCGAACCTGTGACCCATTTTGTATTAGAAACCACGTGTTTGATCCGGCGTGTTTTACCTCTTGGCTACAGAAAGTGTCACAGTTCAGCAATGCACCATTTTTCTTTTTAAGCAAGCACTCTTCCACATTCAGATATTTCTCTCGAGCGATAATAGCGTATGTAAATTTAAAAGTGGACACTGACGTCATCATCGAGCGGTGACACCCTGTTTCATGTTTGAAAGTAATCTCACGGCCATGTCATGCCTGAAGATTGTGTTCAAGTATGGGACAAATGTCGCCGCTCGTTGTTGACCACAGCATCCATTTATATAAATATATACATACATATAAATATATATATATACACACAAATACAGAGTGCGATGGGTAAATTTTCGCCATTTTTAATTTCGCGCATGCGCGTTGTTTGTTTTTGATTTGTCGACTGCACAGTATAGTAGGGTCAGTTGGACACCGTCTGTGAGAAAAGGCACCATGATGCAATTCACTCCGCCAGAACTTTGGAGACCACATGTTGTACTGCTTTCCATTCGCAACGGAAGCTCCAATACAAACATTTCAGAGTATTTGGGTGTTAATCTGAGGACGGTGCAGAAGATTCAGAAAGAGTTGGATGAGTCTAAGAGTGATTACGAAGGTACGGCTGCTCGGAGAACATTCTAATCGTTCTAATTAGAAAAGAACGCCAGAATTTGTTGGTGTGATCCAGGACATGATTGACAACGGTTCCTCCAAGTAAATCAGGTCTATAACCAAGGAGATAGTGCTACCCAGAGTCAAGAGGATGTCTGCTGGGTAGATCCTGTATCTGGCAACAGGACTCTGCATCATGCCACACAAACAGAAGGACCCAGTGATGGCTGTCAGACAATTTCTACGACAATATCACCCCTTACATCTGGCCACCTAACTCTCCAGACTGCAACCTCCGTGATTATTATGTGTGGGGCGCAGTTGAGCGAGAGACCAACAAAACTTCTTGTTCCAAATGAACTGAAGACAAAGATTATGGCGGCCTTCACCAATTTAAGGAGACCATCCAAAAGAGATGCGAGAGATTCCAAAGTTGTCAGGAGATCGTAATTGAAGCCAATGGCGATTTTATTCAATAAATTTATTCTTTAGTCTTTCAAGATATTTTTGTGTAACTTTGATAAATATATCTGTTAAAATGAGATGACAGCGTTATTTTCATTTTTGCATAATTTAGACGACAATTGATCCATCGCACTCTGAATATACATACACAAACAATTTTCATTAAAAAGAACCGAAAAGGTTTGCTCATTTTTGAGAGAGCCAGATGGACATGAACAGACTGAAATAAATAGGAACAAAGAGAGAGATTATCATATATAGGAAAAAAAAATATGCTGATTTTCTAAGGATAGCTTAGATGTGTTACAAGGCCGGAAGTATGAGGTACCCAGTGAGGTCAGGTACCCAACTCACTATTCAGTCGTAATTGATTTCGTAAGGGAAGCTTGCTAACCATTACATAACTTCGAAGTGTCATAAATGATTTTCTAAGCTTAAAAAGGTCGAAAATTTGAAGCCCCCAATGAGGATCGAACTCACTGTTCCATCATAATTGATATAGCGAGTCAAGCTTGCTAACCATTACACCACATCGAAGTTCCCCAAATCACATTCCTAAGTGTAGCTTAGATATGTCACAAGGCCAAAAATATTGGGCACCCCGTTAGGATCGAACTCAATATTCAGTCGTAATTGATCTGAGACAAACGTGCTAACCACTACATCACGCCAAAGTGCCAGGCATATATATATGAAGATAGATATTAGTAGATTAAGATAGATATGAAGATTGAAATGAACGAATGAAAGGAGGGGGGAGTAATTGATAGACAATTAATTATCTAATGTTTTAATTTGACATATATCCCTTTTTTTTCCAAAAACGAGCGTCAGTTTTTGCTTCAATGAAATTTTGTAACCATCTCGAGAATATCTGTCTTGTTTGAGCCGTGTGCCTGTTTCAACGCCATAGTTGATTAGTGTTTCATCTTCTATGCGCCTTATACCTTCAGGAAATAAGCGATGATGGTTCTCCACAACTTTCTATTTCATGTGGCTATTAGCTGTTTTTCTGCCTTTGCAAAGATCTTCGCCATCCGTTCGACCATCCATTCACACAAACTCGTCAGGTAAGTGGCTCTCTACCATAACCTTTATCTTGCTCAATATACTCCTTGAGTGTTCAGTTTCCCCAAGTCCTCTTTTCTTATTATATTACCATGTAATGTCATCTGTCTTTTCCTGATTTTGAATATAAGTGTTCTTTCTGCTGCCATTTTCCTTAAAACTTCCGTGCTGCTTACTCGCTCCATTCATGGGATTTTCAGTGCTTGTTCCTATTTTGTATTAAATTTTCATTAATAACCTTCGTGATGGCATCATCTCTCAACCTGGTATATATGCTGATGACACGGTCATTTACTCCTGTCTCGAGAGAAAGTCCGATCAACTCGATAAGGTCAAATTGGTGGCTGATATAAAAAACGACCTTCAGTCTATTGTTAACTAGGGCAAAGGATGGCTTGTTAATTTTAAAGCCTCTAAAACTAAACTGATCCCTGTTAATCATCTAAGAGACTCCTTTCAGCTTTCCATCAATATGGCTGATGCTAACTCCCAGGAGAGGTATTCGTTGTGCCTTCTTGGGTTAACATGAAGTGGAAAGACTATATTGATTCATTGTTAGGTCAGCTACTAAGAAAGTTGGTTCACTATGTCCTTTCTAGACACTTATTCTCTTCAGAATCTATGTTACATATGTACAAGTCTAACATTCGTCCATGCTTAGAATATTGCTGACGCATAATGGTCCGTTGCTCCAGCTATATATTTTGAGATTCTTGTTAAAATCCAAAAAAGAATCAGCAATTGTGATCTTGAATCTCGTCTTCAGTCAATTTCCATCGCCGCAAAGTTACTTCCATGTGCCTTTTCTATATATAATTTCATGGTAATTGTTCGGGTGATTTCTTCGCTATGGTATCTAGACGTTTTTTTTTTTTTGTTTTTTTTTTAATTTAGGCACAGTATTGGACTGGCCACAAGGCTGAATCGATATACAGTTGTGTTGGCTAGATGTAACCGTAACTTCTACGCTAACTGTTTCTTTTCTCACACTGTTCACTTGTGGAACTCTCTTACGGGTCCGTGCATTCCATTCGATTTTAATCTTCTAAAATTTAAATGCAATGCCTGTTCGTTATTTAATGTCATCCTGATTACTCTTCTGTACTCGCTACTTAGTAATGTTTCTGTTTTCTAATTCTTCCACGACGACTAACCCCTTGTGTCGTAGTGACTTTACTGCCTTGATTGGAATGAACTTAATGAAAAAAAAATACTTCTTTAGAACCAGATTTCTATTGCTTCCTCATCCTTCGGGTAATTGTCCAACATTCGCTACAATATAAGAGGATGGATATCACATAGCAAATCAACACTCTTTTATTTGTTTCTAACGAAGTTTTTTTTTCCGTTGCTCAGCACCTTGCTTAGCTTTTGTAGAAAAACAGCGAATAAGAGAAATGGAGTCAAGGCGAAACCGTCGGTTATTCTTATAGTAGGTTGAACAACAACAACAATAACAGGAGAAGAGTTATAGTTAAAAAGTGAGGAAGACAACGAGACATGGAGCTTGATACACAATGGCCGGGTGCCATATATCGATTTTTTTTCTTTTCTCCTCGTTAAGTTCTCATTACGATTATAAAGAGCCGATATAATTACTGATGCTCTCGTTAGAAAATTTGGATGAAAACAGAG